TGAAAGAGTGATTTCTTAGAGAAGACCGGTGACGACAGGTAAACAGAGCGAAACAGTTTCCCTGAAGAAAACTGGAAAATACTTAATGCTTCAAAAGTACGACCACCAATAATATTTTACTCATCCAGTGAAATCTCCCAGAATCTGCTCCCTGATTTTGCATTTTGAGCCGTCATCAGGTCAAAAAACTCGTTTGTGCTTTGGTTTATTTGACGGAGTATTAGGATCATAAACTTCGGGAAATATGACGTAATATCACGAGAATAAAGTTTTAATTTGATAAGAAAAAAGTAACAGGAGATGCTACGAGATTAAAAGAATCGTGGGAAACTAAATTAGAGATGCTCCACTTTCCTCATTTTAACACGGGTGACAGACTGATCTTCTGATTTATTACAATTTTATTCTCCTAAAATGACGAATAACTTAAACTTATCAGCGTTTTTGTCAGAGCTAACCAGTAAATGTTAGCGTGCTAACATGCTAAGCGAAGAAGTGCTAACCATTGGCCTGTCAGCATTTTCTTTGGGACACGCTGGCGTCGTTTGCTGAATCCCTCACTGTTAGCACGCGAAACTCCTCGTTCAGAATGTTTAAATAATTCATGCTCTTATTCTCATTCCTATTCAAACACCCCGCGGAACAAACACACATCCCTGATCGACTTGTTCGACCGGAACTACAACAAGAATGTAACGAAACTTTAAAATGTTTGCAAAGCTCGGAGATGTGCTGAGATTAGATTTGACTGAAAACTATTTGCCTGAACCTGTCGACAGATTTTTGTGTTTTCTTTGCACAGAAACTTTGGAAGAGTCTGTTGTAAACGTGTTTTTTCTCCCCCCCCCCCCCCCCCCCCCCTCATGTAAACGGAGGCTTTGTGTTCACCCCGGCGCTCAGAGGAGGCCCCTCAGCTCCAGCAGTGACACGCTCTCACTTCAGAAAGGCCAGAGGTCGGGGGGGGGGCTCCAACGTAACTCAGCCACGTGAGGAAGAGAGAGAGTTATGTCACCATCCTTTTTTTAACACGAGGTCACCGTCACCTACGACCATATTTAGGAGGAGTCTAGTGAAAGGACAGAAGAAGAAGAAGAAGAAAAGGCTGCTCCGGGGTTTGTTCTCCTCGGAGGAAACGGCGGGAGCCTCGGCACGTTCGAGGCTGCTCCCGCTATTGAAGAAAATCTCCCCCCTCCCTCCCTCATTCCTCCTTTACTCCCCCCTTCACTTTACATTTGCTACTCCCTCATTCGTCCTCTTTGTAACCATCCCTGTTCCCACGGCGCATATCTCACCCACGTATATAATCGACACCCCCCCCCCTCCCCTTGTGTACATTTTATACACCGTATACTTCAACGCAGAAGCTGTATACACTTGTATACATTGTATGCCTGTCTCCATTGTATGCCATTCATATCTATGTAGCCTTCACTATCTTTTATCCACATCGTAGCCACCGCACCAACTCTACTCCTCAGCATTATCGCTCATTCTTCGTGTACGACTATAATCTCTTGTCTCCTGCCCGTATTCACCACCCATGACCACCGCTTCACCTCGTGAGCCTCCCCTCCACACAATAGAGAAAGTTTTCTTTCTTTTCTTTTTTTTTTTTTTTCCAACTCG